GCTATACTTCGTTACTATAGGTAACGATGAGGATCATAGATGAGTAATTTGTTTACCTATGGTCGTACAAGTATCTCATGGAGATTCCAAAGAAATCACAATAGCAACTGATCATGCACAATGGTCAACAATTCATGAGACTTGTTATGAATTGTTTGGTTAAGATTTGTGATTCAACACGTCTAAATGACTTGTAGTTGTGGATTCTCTTCATAAAAAATGATCTTGAAGATCATGTATGAAGAAAATGGTCATAATGGATCATGCATAAAGTGAAAATCTAGAAGATTTGTTCACTAAGAAGCTTACCGTGACAATATTTGAAAGATTTGTTCACAACACTATACTCTGATGTTGTCATGAGGGGGAGCATATACGCACTGCACTCTTTTTTCCTTAACCATGGTTTTTCCCACTGGGTTTTCATGGTAAGGTTTTTAACGAGGCAGATTCAGATAGCGTATTATGATGATTATGTACTCTTTTTCCTTCACTAGGATTTTATCCCACAGGGTTTTTCCTAGTAAGGTTTTAACGAGGCATATTCATGTCTAATGGTCATCCAAGGGGGAGTGTTATGAAAATATTATTATTATTATGGATGACCAACATTAGATGCTCCATGGTATGTTACAAGTTCTATGTAACTCATCTCCTTATATTTATTTCTCCATATGACACATTAGATGCACAATTGGGTGTTACATGTAACCCCCCACCACATTTCTATTTCACATTCATTCTCACATTCATGTATATTAATTGTAAGAATGTAGAGGTTATGTGATGTGTGCCTATAAATAAATGATCTCCTTGTACTAAGGAACACATGAATAAGAAAGCTCTATTCCCCCTCTCTTCTTGTGTCTCTACTCTTACTCTTGTGTATGTTCCTCTTCCTTGTTATTTCATAACATTATTTACATAAGCTGATTATATAACTTTTCGTGGTCAGAATTCCCCCTTTTTTCTATTCAGGATCCCAGACTGTTAAACAGCCCAGAAATGTCCCTTCAGAATTATCTACTCATCACCAGTACATGTGTTGTACTTTGATGTCCTACTCCGGGTCGAGGATTTCTTCGTACATCTCTCATCTCAGAGTGATCTGGCTGAAAGTGCTTTGGACACGGCCGTACCATGTTTCTTATTTTCGAGATATAATAAAATGGAGATGATTACTACATTGATCGAAATAAAAGTATATATTGAATCTTCAATTTTTCGTATTCTCAAAAAAATTATTCTCAATCGTCTTTTCATAGCTAACCCATTAAGGATTTACAAAAGCATTTTAGAGCACAAATAGGACTTCAACAATCAATAAACAAGTATTTGGTGCAAGATTCCAGAAGCCGCTAGGTGTGAGGTTGGAGTTGGAAGCAAAAGTGGCAACAAGATGAATGAAATAAAATTTACAATACTTCTTTTTTAAGTTCAAATGATTAATAAATTACTTAGCACTTAACAACAAGAAAATATGTCATAAGTTATTAGAATCATAGCTTAATAGTTGCCTATGTTTTTGAGCTATTAAAAAGATCGAGATAGAAGATTGAGTTTGTAAATAATGTTAATTTTCCCCCTTTGATATTGGCTGTTTAACTTCATCTAATAATGCCTAGGCGTCGCTTTACTCCGTCGACTCGTTCTTGATACCTAACTCATCGTGGAACTCCTACGCGAGACATTTTGATGTTACCCACAGCCTAGCGATGCCTAAGCATAAGGTTAAGCACATCTTTTCGAATCATCATCGTATTTATATATACATGTTAATCTTTATCAGTGACTAGCCTAATTATTAACTAATAAACTTATAAGTGCATTATCAGGGCAATTTTGTAACAAAAAAGAGGTACCTGTTACCGTATTATGTAGTTTCATGGGCCAATTATACGTGTGTATGACAATCATTGGCCCAAGCCCATGAAACCCATGCTGGCGCATACGTGTAGAAGCTAGGGTTTATAGGGCTATTTAATTCCCATGTACACGACTGGAGAACATAACAAAGACTAGTACTATTTCGGCTTGGGGAGTTCAGCTCTCCCGTGGATTAGTCCTGGCATTTCAGGAATACCACGTTAAATCGGTGTGTTCGTCTTTCTGTGTGTTTGAATATTTAGCTAAGCTAACATGGTATCAGAGCTTTCGGTCATGGATTCTAAGAGACTGGCGATTCGGCTCAACCCTAAGAACAATATGCTATGGGAATTCCAATTTCGTGTACATGTTGAAGGGAAGGGACTCGCTGGAGTTCTGGATGGTACAATACCGAAGCCGGATTCCACGACCACTACTGAGCAGATCAACCGATGGAATGTACAGGATGCTCGGGGTAAGATCGTGGATTTTGGATTCTATTGATCCAACTATACGTCCAAGTCTTCGTATGCGCAAAACTGCCCATGATATGTGGAAATACTTGGCTGCTACTTACTCCACCGCTAGTGCCGCAGGGCAATTCGAAAGAAGTTTGCATTGGATAGGTTGGAGAAAGGCAATCGTGATGTTACTGCTTATCTCACAGCAGCTCAGGAGCTCTGGACTGAAGATGATTTGTTGACAACCACACTCCGCCCTGCTGCTACATCTGATGTCATAATTGAAGAACGACAACAAGAGCGCCTGCTTCAGTTTCTTATGCGGCTGAGGCCCGAATTAGAATCCATCAGGTCAGCAATTATTCATCGAGGGTAGCTGTCCATGGAAGGGGTTCTTTGCGATCTCATACGCGAGGAAACTCGCCTCCGAACCCAGGCGAAGCTTGACCTGCATCCAGGAAATGGGGAGTCGTCACTTGTTGCAGCTGCAGGTGTTGCGGATGCTGCCTATGCCGTCGAACGTCCTCAATTCCAACGTCGTGTCCCCACCTCTGAATTACAGTGCCACCATCGCAAAGAAAAAGGGAACCTTCAGAAATATTGTCGCCGATGCAAGTTGTGCGTGTATTGCAAGAAAGGAGGACACATCATCCTCGAATGCAGGCTTTTCGTTGAACACCATGGGAAGCATGCTGAGATGCCATCCACTGATGGCCGTCAGGAAAACACTTGCTCCGATCAGATACGCCATGACCGACCTGCATATTCTGCTCAGCTGGCCGAGGATAATGGGGTCTACGCTGCCAAAATTGAACAATTGGTGAACGTTGCTTTACAGAAGGCTTTGCCCAACGCCATTAGCTCCGCCTTTGCTACACTTCAGGTGACAGGTAAACGTTCTTCGCCATGGCTTCTCAATTTAGCATGCTTCAATCATATGACGCATAATGCTGAGGTGCTTCACGGTGTCAAATCAGTTAGTAATATGAATTTAAAAGTTGCTAATGGTGAGAATTTGAAAGTTAATGGGATAGGGTTTGTGCATCACCCTAAAATTACCTTGTCTAACACGTTTCATGTCCCTAAACTTGTACCCAACCTGGTGTCCGTTGGGCAACTTACTGATCAAGGGTGCTCGGTTACGTTCGCACCGTCTGGATGTGTTGTGCAGGACATGAAGACGGGGAGGCAGATCGGCCGAGGGAGTAAGCAAGGGCGGTTATTTCAGCTAGAAGAGCTGGCCAGTCTATCATCATCTATGTATCTACCTATAGTGGTATTGATTTCTATATAGTGGTATTGATTTGTATATATTGGTACTAGTTATGTTAGGTGTTCCAAGGATAAAGCAAGATGAAGGTGGCAGGAGGAAGTCTGACGAGAAAAGAGTGAAAGGTAGAAGTGAAACAAAAAAAAAAAAAAGATTAATTAGAGTTTTCAATTCCAAAAATTGTAATTAATATGATTTTTAATTTCCAAAATTTAATTAATATAAATATAACTTTCAATACTAAATATGCCATGCAAACCGCCTTTAAAGTTTGCACCATACTCTGTCCCAAGTGAAAAGAGTTTTACTTGAATTTTGTCTGAAGTTGATATGTAATTCTAAAATTTATGGTCCAAAGGACCATATGCATATGCAGTTTCAAAGTAGCAAGAAGCATTTGTTAGTCAATATCACTTCCGTTGAATTGTTAATTTCGTTAAGTTCAATTTGTTTGATATTAATTACGAACTGTTTAACAGAAGTGAGGAAGGAATTATTAGGAAAAAAAAAGTGAGGAAGGCCTTTTCATTACAAATTAATATGTTGACTTTTGATTTTTGTAACTGGTTTGGATCAGTAGGGTGATTGATTATGTCTTGGTGTAACTTGTTATGCAAGTGATTTAATGAAGAAAAAGAAAATGAAAGACAGAAAATGCACAAAAAAAGGACAAACAAACAGCAGGAAGCCAGAACTAATCTCTTGGGCCAAAAAGCAAAACCAAGCCCAATAACCACTTCAGAACAATCACACCAAGCAGAAAAGTCGCACCAAGTGGTAAAAGCTACTTCACTGTGGCTTTGTTAACCTGGTCGGAGTAGTAACTTTGCACGCATGCAAAACTGCAAATGCAAGCTCGGGAAGGAAACAAATGAAAGATACCCAGAAGGCCACCAAGCCCCCCAAAAGAGGAGTTCATAGCTACAAAAAAGAGTTCAATTCATATTTTGGACGGAGGAGGATTCAACAATACCTGAATTGTGTCTCTGCCAAACCACAGATGGGTAGTAAAAAGATCAGCCCATTTACAGGCTTGAATCAATGGAGGGTAGTAGTTACCTTACCCCATCCCTGACTAGATTTTTCCAATTACTTACTCTACTCCCGCCAGCTACTAGTGATTGATTCTCCTAATTTTAGCAAACCAACAGCGACTGTCTCAAAGCAGACAGGCTCCCACTCATTAAGTGTGTTCATCCACCAACTCTGTATACAAAGGATGCAGATAAAGATCAATCTTGAATTCCCAGATGCCAATTCACACTCTCGATTGATCACTGATTAGTACCATCACATCAGAATCTTTCATACGTTTCAAGAGAGGCTCCTCCCCTGTTTTTGTTCTGTTTCTCTATCTTCCCCTGTTTCCCCACAGTCCTCTGTTCCCTTTAACAAAAATGACAGTTTGCAGTACTCCTTCGTCGCCAGTGTGTGTGATCACGGCGGTGATGATTTTCGCCGCCGTTTATCTGTTCGGGATCGATGGCGCTGCGGTTTTCCACCTTGAGAGGAATTTGCCTTTCTCGTCGAACTCGACTTCCATGGAGCAGCTCACAGCTCGGGACCAAGCCAGGCATGCGAGGATCTTGCGAGGGTCCACCGCCGCCGATGGAGTTGTCCACTTCCCCGTTTACGGTTCAGCGGATGCCAATCTGTTCGGGTAATTCCGTTTCCCCCTGTTTTATTTTTTTCCCCTTTAAAATTGCTTTTTCCGCAGTTTAAAAACAATATATTTCTGTTCTGTAAGAAAGTGGGAGTATATAATTTTAAAATTTGGCGGCAAGAAGACTGGGCATTGGACCATACGCACACTAATACGAGCGTTTTACCTAGAACGCCGTCGTTTTCTGGTTCTCGTAATAAAACGCAAAATTAATATTTTGCCTTTGTTCAATCTCCCTCCTCCTACCTCTGTTTCCTTTTCTCCTTCTTCCCCATCTCTACCAGTACTTAGTTGATTCCAAGCAGAAGCAGGGATTGACTGTTTTTTTGTTGTTTTTGTTGTTGTTGCTACTCTTGTTTTTTTTGGACAGACTGTATTACACAAAAATAAAGCTGGGGTCGCCACCAAGGGAATTCAATGTGCTGATCGACACTGGGAGTGATTTCTTGTGGGTGATGTCCAACACTTGCGGCAATTGTCCACGCTCCAGCAATCTAGTGAGCTCTCTCTCTCTATCTTATTCCATAGGGAAGACTGGGAGCCATTAACACGAACTGCACGATAACTGTACAGAAGGGTCGAGATCCATCCCATCCTTATCGAACTCATTCATTCTTCTTCTGTTGGTATTGTGATGCAGATCCAGCCTACGTTTTTTGATGCCACTGCATCCTCAACCGCACGGGTCAACCGCACAAGGCTTACAATCCCCATGCGGTTGAGGATGCAGTGGCATCATAAAACGTAGGCTGGATCTGCATCACAATACCAACAGAAGAAGAATGAATGAGTTCGATAAGGATGGGATGGATCTCGACCCTTCTGTACAGCTATAGCGCAGTTAGTGTTAATAGCTCCCGGCTTCCCCATGGAATCACTCCCCTCCCCTGTATATCGATTCTCAAGTAATACTCTAAGGCCTAAGATAGCGCTAATTCCCCCACTATGCATCCACACTTTATATCCCAGAAGTTTTGCACATAATCGAGATCAAGAAACACACAAGCAGAGAGAGAGAGAGAGAGAGAGAGAGAGAGAGAGAGAGAGAGAGCTCACTAGATTGCTGGAGCGTGGACAATTGACGCAGGTGTTGGACATCACCCACAAGACATCACTCCCGGTGTCGATCACGACCTTGAATTCCCTAGGTGGTGACCCAAGATTTATTGTTGTGTAATACAGTCTATCCAACAAAACCAAGATTAGCAAAAAAAAAAAAAAAAACAGCAGTCAATGTCAATACCTGCTTCTGCTAGGAATCAACTAAGTAGTAGAGAGGGGGAGGCAGGGGAAAGGAAACAGAGGAAGGAGGAGGAAAGATTGATTGAATAACGCAGAAAATAATAATAAAAAAAAAACAAAAGGCAAATTATTAGTTTTGAGTTTACTTTACGAGATTTAAAAAACGACTGCGTTACGCGTAAAACGCTCGTATAAGAGTGCGTATTGTTCAATGTCTTTTTGCCGCCAAATTTTAAAATTATATACTCCCTCTTTCTTTTGTTTATATATGTACAGACAGAACAGAAATATTGATTTTAATTTAAACTGGGGAAAGGAATTTAAAAACAACAAACAGGGGGAAACGGGAAATACCCGAAAATATTGGCATCCGCTGAACCGTAAACCGGGAAGCTGACAACTCCATGGACGGCGGTGGATCCTCGCAAGATCCTCCCATGTCTGGCTCGATCTCGAGCTGTCAGCTGCTCAATGGAAGTCGAGTTCGACGGCAAAGGCAAATTTCTCTGAAGGTGGAAAACCGCAGCGCCGTCGATCCCGAACAGATAAACGGCGGCGAGCATCATCACCGCCGTGATCACACGCACTGGAGAGGAAGGAGCTCTGGAAACTGTCATTTTTATTAAAAGGAACAGAGGAATGCGGGGAAACAGGGGAAGATAGAGAAACCGAACAAAAACAGAGGAGGCGTCTCTCTTGAAACGTATGAATGATGCTGATTGTACTAATCAGTCGAGAGTGTGAATTGGCATCTGGGAATTCAAGATTGATCTTTATCTGCATCCTCTGTACACTGAGTTGGTGGATGAACTCACTTAATGAGTGGGAGTGTGTCTGCTTTGAGATAGTCGCTGTTGGTTTGCTAAAATTAGGAGAATCAATCACCGGTAGCTGGCGGGAGTAGAGTAAGTAATTGGAAAAAATCTAGTCAGATATGGGGTAAGGTAACTGCTACCCTCCGTTGATTCAAGCCTGTAAATGGGGTGATCTTTTTCACTACCCATCTATGGTTTGACAGAGTCACAATTCAGGTATGCTTGCTTGAATCCTCCTCCATCCAATGTATGATTTGAACTCTTTTTTGTAGCTGTCATGTCAACCCCTCTTTTGGGGACTTTGTAGCCTTCTGGCTGGGTATCTTTCATTGTTTCCTTCCCGAGCTTGCATTTGCAATTTGCATGCGTGCAAAGTTACTACTGCGACCATGTTGACAAAGCCACAGTGAACTGGCTTTTACCGACTCTTCTTGGTGTGATTATTCTTTCTGTTCTTAGTGTGATTATTCTAAAGTGGTTATTGGGCTTGGATTTGCTTTTTGGCCCAAGTTATTAGTTCCTGCAATTGGGCCCAAAAAACAACGGCTGTTTGTCTTTTATCTTTTTCTGTTTTCTTTTCCTTCATTAAATCACTTGCATAACAAGTCACACCCACATTACAAGATAGTAAGATACAATCAATACCTTAACGAAACCAGCTATTATAAAAGTTAAAACTCAACATATGCATAAGAAACATGATAAAAAGGAATATATGCGAAAAAAAAGAAAAAAACACAGGTAACTATTTCACAAAAAATCTATAAGGAATTTTTGGTTTTCTCTTATTGATGTTTTTATCTCTCGAGAGGTGAAGATCCTAGTTATAAACATCAAAGGGTCAAATGTATAACGGCAACTAGGGTTGGCCACATCAACCTATCACCAAAGCCCACAAATAAGGGGGAAAAGTACTTGAATCCTGAAATCCGAACGCATACCATGGCCTGGACATAGGGCTGTCAATTTGGTTTGGTTTGGTTAACCAAATCATTAAGTATGAAAAACCAAAAACCAAAAACCAAATCCCAAAAACCAAAAAACCAATATGTACTCATACACTCATATTTATTCCTATTTCCCTCCTTTTTATTCATAATAATGGTAAATGTCCATAACAAATTATTGGTTGGCATGCGTGTCAAAAGAAACAAAAAAAAAAAAATATTTGTTGATAAATAATTTTATTCTTATTGGTTTCTTAATGGTTTCTATTGGTTTTTTGGTTTTAACCAAACCAAAACCATTAAGTTACTTATTGGTTTAAAACCAAAAAACTGAAACCATTACCAATTGGGTTGGTTTCGATTAAAACCAAAAAACCAAAACCATATGGACAGCCCTACCTGGACATGAATGTCCCTGTTGTGACCGTGACTTGCCCTTCTCCGACCTTTATTTAATTGTATCTCTTAAACTTCTGCTCCAATATGGAAAATGTTATGGTAGGTTATATTAAGATGACATCCTACTATATATTTCATCGTCTAAAAACTCTCTATTTGTTGAAATTTCCTACTAAGCCATGACACCCTAATGGCCTTTACTGGGACCTTGACAATGAATTTTCAATCTTTAGATGCACTGCTATGAATTTATATCATTTGAATTAATATGATTAATTCATGTTTTATTCTATATTTCCTATAACAAACAGAATATGGAATAGGACATATATTCTTTATTGGTTTAGGGCTATAAAATGAACACAAATTTATAATAGTGAAAAACGAGGAAAACATTTAGGGGACATGGAATTCCCTTTTTCCTTCCATGCCAACTCGTTCTTGAAACCCTTAGTCTCTCCCTTTTGTCTAGAGATTCTTGCTTAAGTCTTTTATAGTCAATCGATCGTGAATCAATCGTGACAATCCAGAAGAGCGATTTTGGTGGTTCATACTAAGTAAGAAGTTTTGTTCTTGCGCGGCCCTCTTAACCTCCATCCCCTGTCTCTTAGTTGTTGTAATTTTTTTCTTTTACTGATGCGCGCTTGTGATTTGATTCTAAGATGATTATGTCGTAGGTGATGAGGTTCTTTCATGTACTCTTGTTATTATGGCGGGGAGATCTTTCCAAGAGAGTCGATGCTCTGTATTGATCAATTTATTTTCTTTTGTGTTGTTGTTCTTTCTGGAATTCCATCTTATATATGGGTTTGTTTTTATCTTGTTGGCTAGTTTGTTTTCCATCTTATATATGGGTTTGTTTTCCTCTATCACATCTTCATTTCATTAATTGCCTTGTTCCCTAGCTGTCAATCCAAAATTTGTTTGCAATACAGTAGTCTATAGCGTGTGACTCGCTATGACACAACTCCTAATAATGGCCAAGTGTAACTAATGAAAGGGACTGCAGTATAGTGGCTCAAGTAATAAATATCGAATCCACGGGTCTCTAGAGTTACTATTACTCAGCTTCAGTTCGTTATCTAGCAAACCAGATTAAGATGGAAGAACTAAAACTACTCTAACAAACTACAGTTAAAGTTAATCTAATTACAGGTTGGGAACTCACTTAGATATGATTCCCCCTAGCCACTAGCCAGATTAATGATTGATGATCTCTAACTTGTTTCACTTTCATTCACAATGCGGAGAATCCTTGATTAAACCTTGAATCTCGACTAAAGGATCAAGGCCCTCTTGAGTCAATTGCCTAGAGGGACGTATCCTTCTCTAGAACAACCGATCAAGGCGTTCTGAACTAGATTCACTCCAGCGAATGAGGTTCTCAGTCGATACAAAGCATCGAATTAACCATCGACTAAAGCAATCGATCCAATACTATCAATCTATGGTGCTCTATTGACCTAATCAGGTATTCGCTCTCATAGGATCAAAGCAAAATCAATAATCTCAACTAAAGCAGAATTGAATCATGAAAACGTGCATGGATTGAATATGAACTCAAGATTATCAAGTAGGAGTACTCATACAATCATCCAATCAAACAAACATAGCTAGGGTTCCTCAAAACCTAAGTGAAGGGAAGTTACTCCATAGAGAAGAGAGAGACTGCAGTAAGAATCTTCAGATGATCAGTCTTCAAGTCCGGGCTTGTTCCTCGAGCTTCCAAGGCGAAGAAATCCTCCAGTTCCACTCCAAGAATGCCCTCAAATCGCCCTCTCTCTCTTTGGTTCGTCCCTTGGGTGTTTGGGATCCAAACCCAGCTCTACCTTGCAAAAACACACAAAACAGGCTTTTAACAGCCTGCGTTCGCGATCCCCGGTCAGAATACCCGGTCGGGTATTTTAGGTGGAGACTGGGTATCTTCAAAACGCACCGTCGGGGAACAAGGGTTAATCCCCGATCAAGGCCAAGAATACCCGATCGGGGATTTATGATTACTGCCCGGGCCCCCTTCTGCTTCTCAGACCCCCAAAACATATTTTCCCCTGTCTGCTCCAAATAATACCCGACCGGGTATTTCTGCCCATGGCCGGGTATTTTTCTCCTCCAGCACACTTCAACCCAAACGTTCTCCTTTCAACTCGAAACTCGTTCCTTCGCCTCGATGCCAACGCCAAGCCCTGAAATATGACATAAACACACAACCTAGCGTGAAATCGGCTTAAAACACGAGAATCACCATCTCAAACGGCTCAAGAATAGGGTAAAAACATGTGCAATCAATGGTCTATCAAACTCCCCCACACTTAACTGTTTGATTGTCCCCAAGCAAACCTAACTCA